AAGTACATTGAAAGCTCGCATAGCAATCTCCAAAAACAGCCATAAACGTTGCTCTTCTCAGTGGTCCATCGATATAGGAGAAATGCGAAAGAAGACCACCAAAAGAATTTAACCACTAGAGATGGAGATCCCATCTTCAGAGTCTCTCGTTACGCTAATGGACTCCCACTGCAGAAACAACCACGGGATGATCGCGAAGGCGAATAACTTCCTAGTTAATGATATTTACTTTTGCGTGTTATCACGTTCTAATCACCTAGTGGTCTCTTTTGCAGTAAGAAACTGTAACAACAGGCGTAAACGAAGGCTCTAAAGAAGGCGACCTGTCGAAACGTTAGCCAGTAAAGCAATTAATAATTTCACGTCCAGTCCATTCAGGAGTCTGAATTCTTATGTGGCGAATCAATGAGTTGGGCACTTCGAAGACTATGAGCAAATCAAGAGAATTTTTTCAAGCACCTCAAGAACAAATCTAGTAAAAATAATCAAATAACTACCAAATAAAATAATGCAACAAATTATGTAATGTGATGTAAAGTATACCACAAAAGAAAAGTACAAGAGATCACTGGAATTGAATGTTAAACTAACACTATTTGAACGTTACCTAAAGATGTTGGCAAGCGCTCCTTTGAACAATCCTCGCACACCCTCCTCCAAAACTATGCGCTTAGCTGCACTGAAAGCTCGTTTAGTGCTAAGCGTTCCTTTTATCATCATTCTTCTACGAACTGTGTCCCATGGATAAGTTAAATATGCTGAGCATATGGATACTCCCTAAAACAATATAGTTATTTAGTTACTGTAGGAACGAGTTCAAGAAAATGCCAACAATGCCTATAAACCAACCTGAGCTATGAAAAATGAGCTCACAAAGTGCAGATTTCTCTTGTCCTCTTGAACAAAGTGCCTTATTGTGTCATACATACCAAAATACACAGCGCGATATATGAAATACGTCTGTAACAAATCGATCGGCAAGAGAGACAGGTGCACAAACTTTTAATTATTTGATATTAGCCTAAGAACTATGTCCTTAGAAAATTTACTATGAATTTAATTTTTGGCATCTGATAATCATCAAAATAAGAGCGTTGAAAACGCTGAAATGTTATGGATTCTCACCTGGATGGAAATAAAAAACCCTCTATACAATCCCGCAACGCCTTCAGATCTTACAGTCTTTCTCAAGCAGTCTATGAAACCCTAAAGTGCGACAGTTTTGAAATCAGCATACGAAAAAAAAATCTAATCTACCGTATAATCCCTGTTGGTTTTGTGCGTGCCAACATCAACAGACAATCGAGTTCGTATGAAATCCAGAGGATAAACAAAGCATAATGTTGTAGATCCTGCGCAGCCGCCGGCGGCTAGAGAGCGGAAAGTGTACTTCCAGAAGTGCTAAAATGGCACTCTCATTGGTCGCAACAATTACAGGTTGAGGTTGATATATTTATCACATAAAATATACCTCATTACGATTCAATTTCTCAAGAAGGACAGACTTGTACAAGTCATTAAAGGCGAAGTTCAAAGCCTGAAGGATACACAGAAGAAAGTGAGAAGTTTTACTTTTGAAGCAATTACCTGAGTTGGAAAATAGCGCATGACATTTGTTAAATTTCCTCTCCAGAAAGAAAAAAATCCTTGCTCCTTGGGGACACGAATAAACGCATCTATGATTCCTTTGTACCGATCATGAGCAGCAATGCTCTTATGAGAATATTGGACCTAAAAGAGTGATAAAAAAGTTCAGTCCTAACAGTAAGCTTCTCCGTTTCTTTCTTCTGACCACATGAGAGACTTATGCGGTGCATTACATCGTGAACGTATGTTTTACATTTGCTCATAGATAAAATTTGCTTTTAAAACTATGAGGAAAATGTTCGACTTATCAGAAAGTGTTGACTTGGAATGTTGGTTAGTAACGATAGTCTTAGCTT